ATCAATGCGTTTCACGTTTTTCATACTCGTATATGAATAAGCAATCAATGGAGTTATGAAAACATTTTGACAAATACAGTGAGTTTCAATTTTCAATAAATACTGAAAAAAAACCGTCAAAAAACGAAATATTTAGTTATAAAAGCTTTGACATATGCCACCAGCAGTTTCGTTTGAACAATTTCAACTAAACATCAAGCTTCGTTACGAAAAAAAAGTTACGTCAAAATATTAACGAAACTTATATCACATCAATCGGTTTTTATTGTTTGCAAAAAAAATCTAAATGTCTTTCACTGTAACACAAAATTATTCGTACGGTGATTATGAATACAAAAAAATGACTAATCTTCTGATAAGAATATGTGTGCAGCTTGAACCTCTCATAGGTTTCAATACTTTCTAAAAAATAATATCCAGAACTTTATTTGTTTCTTTCATATATCGAGTTGTGTACACGTAGTATCTCATCATTTGATATTTGATATCTCACCTGTGCAAAGACAACTACAATTGAACCCGGGCTCCAAAGATTTTAGTTAAAAAAGTTTTATAGAGAAAACTAGAGGGATGAATTTTCTTTACATTCTTCTTTTTCTTTTTTAATATCACAGTGTGAAGAATATTTCGCAGTTCGTAAATATTAGTTTTGAAAAAAATAGCTATGCGCAATTGGGAAAAGCGAGCGCTTTACCTATAAGATTTAGGTAGATAAAACAGACTGTAAGTTGTAGCAGGGAAAGGGCACGCGTATACACGTCTAGATTCGCAGCTGACGTCGGCGACACCGGCTGCTTGCGAGCTTATAATATTGCACGAGAGCGAACGCGCGCGCGCGCGCGCGGCAACATTTGGACGTTCCAAGATGACGATTCGAGGCCGTCGCCGTCGTCGCCGCCGTCGTCGCCGCCGTCGTCGTCGTCCTAGAGAGGAAGCCGAGGGTCGGGATTCGCTATATAGGCGTCAGCTTGCAGCGGCTGAACCCTAAAAACGCGCCCACCCGCCGCCTGCCAGCATTATATACACCAGCGTCGAGCCTCTAATCTATCCGATCGATCGCTGTTTTTCTTTATTCTCGGGCGTCACTAACACTTTTGCGCTTGAACCCAAAGAAAAGATTCACGCAACTATACGACCCGACAAGAGTTTAGCGCTTTTCACGTCATACCCATCTTTTATTACTTCTGAGTGTACTTGCGCGAAATATGCCCGTTTCGCCCTTTATTCTCTTGGACTCGGAACGTAAAAATAAAATACATGAAACGCAGTTGCAAAAGTATTTAATCTAAATTTTATATCTTGAAAGATGTCTGACTGAAGCAGGTCTGTTCCAGTTATAAAAATCTCAATGTTAGCGTTTCACAGTTATTCAAAGATTTGATTTGAAATTATACTTGAATACGTTGAGTAAACGAGAGTTATTAATAAAAGATATAAACATCAAACATCGCAGATCACGAGGATTTGACGACAGACAAAACCTGCATGTGCAGTCATAAAGGCCAAAATGAAAATTCGTAAGCGTAAAATCCCCCTTTACAATCAATGTACACAGAGAAGAGTCATATAGTCGCGGTCCATTCAAGTTCTGTTGACTGTTGCCGGAATTGCCACTCGATCGGCATCTGCTCGTGCGGACTTTGCGCATGGCGGACGAAAACATTTTGCGAAGAGTCAAGCGCTCGCTTCCCCGGCTCTCCTCATCCCTCGCGCTCTTGGCCATCTTTTCTTTTTAACTTTCTACCCGTTTGGGCCTCGACCAAGCGCGCAACACCCATTCACAAAAGCCTCTCTCGCTATCTATTGCGCGATGCTTATCGCTGTTCAACGGCGGAAACAATGACGCTCTCATTGGACCCTTCGCTGAACTCAACTGTTGCGTCGAATGCCCATTTTTCGCAGATTATCGTCAGATTGAACAATTAGTCAATGGGGTATCGTCGCCAAACAATTGCCGCTCGCAAAAGTTTGCGAACCTATTCGGAACCAGTGCGAGGCGAGTCTCTCAACTACGTTACGTGAATGTTTTAATAGAGAGCCGACTGGAATACGCGAAATCTACATTTCATCCAGATGTAAGGTCTGGCAAAGTGAAAAGGAGAGCGAGGAGGAATCGTGGAAATCGCGAAAGCTCACTGAGTAAGCAAATTAGCATGGATTTGTTCATACTTTCATCGCATCGGACTTTGGCACTGGCGCAGTAAGCGCGCAAGCGTATAAAGAGAGGATAAAGAGAGAGAGAACAAAATGATCTTTCTCCGGGAGCAGCAGCTTCCCTTCGGCCGCGACTCCTCGATTTTCTTTGTTATAAGCGTCGTTCTCGCCATTTTTCTTTCATTTTGGCCTGCTGACGAGAGAGAGAGACTTTCTTCTTTTTTTTTTCTTTGCGCAGTAGCTCCGGGAGCGTCGCCCCGCGACCATATCTCGCCGCGTTCTTACGCTCTCAACTTGGCCCAATATCTTCCGCGAGGCTTTAGTAGTCTCTCTCTTCAGCCCGAGAGGCGCGCGTCCGTTGGCTTTCTACCCTCGCAGCTTGTCCGCCCCTGCGACCTTTAGCCGGTCTCGCTCTCGCGTGCGCGCTCTGCCTGGAGGGGGTAGTTTTATTAAAACTCCCGTCAATAGGGAGGTGAGGAGAAACGTAGGGGGAGTGCTCTATGCTAGCGCACGAATGCGAACGAGATATATATATACACACATATATATGTATATATACATATATATATATATAAAGAGAGATAGAGAGAGAAAGACGAGACGAGTGCTTTGCACAATGCTGCCGCCGCGCTACCTCGTAAAGAGAGACAAAGAGAGAAAACTCCGCTAGAAATGATCTTTCCTATATAGTTTCCTTTTTATTTTGCGCTTCTAACATTTTTCTTTCTACTCTTCTCGGCTGTTCTGCCATTTAATCGATTTCTTTTATTACAATAAGCCCAACGATAACATTTCATGACTTTTTACATGATTGTAATGATGCGACCAAAACTTTATAAAATATAGCTTAATAACTTACATAACACGTTGCAGTTGCTGATACACGGATGCATCCGGAATTTTGATTTACTCAATTTGTACAATGCTTCAATTTCAATTATTATTTAATGCGAATTTAACGACTTCAAGATTTAAATCGATCATATGTACTTAGTTAAATTCAATCTCTCTTATACTTGAATCATGTCCGATAAATCTTATTCTACCCGTAACTTCTAATACAAGATTTTTTGCCGAAAAACCTATTGCAAAAGAATCGCCACAATCTCAAAATTATCTAAGAAATTATTTTGTTCAACAAAAATACTTTTTTCATAAAATATCGAATTATTAAGATAAATAAATTCACAATTATTTTCTAACAATATAAGCGCTCATACTAATTATTGGTATAGTGCATGGTAACTTTCTGCTTGATCCTTCGAATCTTGTTTTCAAGCTTTCCTTTCTTATAAAAACTATCTTTGAAAAATAAATAATTAACAATCCATATGTCATTTATTTCTAGCAAAGCAGTTGAAAAAATTAAAAAGATAAATCTTATATTCCGATGCGGCGCACCAATCTCTAAATAAAAATTTATTTCAGGTTATTATAATAAAATTTAGTTCTGTTTCAAAATTATAGAAAACTACAGTATTCATATAAGGAATCAAAATATTGCTATTAATTATTTAACTTTACCTAAAATAGGCAATATTTATCAATCGTTAGAGCGACTAAAATTCAGTTTAGTTAAATTGAACAATTTCAATATTGAACAACTTTTCTAAAATGAAGTTGCTTTTATATAAAACACATAAACGTGTATTTTCAAAACTATTAAACTTTGGCTGTTTTCTATTATATCTCTTGTATAGACATAGTTATAAAGTCAATACATTATCGGTTAGATGTAATTCTTCTACATTTGTTCATACCAAATATTTTGTTTACATTGCTCAATAAAATATTATGCGAGTTTAAAAGTTAAAGCGAAACTACCTTAAAATCTATACATGTATTTTAGGATTCTTTTATTTCAGTAACTCAATTATTTGATAGATGACTTACTGATTGATAAGTATGGCTTCTTATACTATTTTTACGATCTACTGTTTCAAAATTGTCTTACTCAAAAAATAATATATTTTATAGAAACTATAATAAAATTATTAGGCTTGCATAAGTTTTGTATTTATTAAATTTGTTGCATTATTTATTACTGGAATCTATTTATAGATATATTAAAATTTTTTTCACGAATAGTTTTCTAAATTTATCAATAACTTGAGATTTCTTTCGTACAAAAATAGGTACTATTTTTGTTCTCTCCGCTAATAATGTTTCGTGTAATCATCATTCTTCAATTATTACTATTATTACGTTGAATCTTGTTTGAAGATCGTGATACACTTTGTAAGCTCGAGAGGATAGACGTGAGGAGAAAAAATAATGAAAATTATGAAATAGTTCAACGTTATTTGCTCCTCTATGCAAATATTATTATTGATTTTTAGTTTTTAAATAATAAAAAAATATATAATCAACTTTCTATTTTTGTTGCTCTGGATATTTATATGCATGAATTGATCAAATGCTATTTTCGATTTTCCAAACGTCTAATTATCACACATCAAATTCGTCATTAAAAACTAAATGTTTAAATTAATAAGTTCAACTACTGTTGGTAATGTAGTCTTTTACAAGAACTAATATATGATATATTGGTAATTAGTACCGACTAAAAGTAATGGTGGCGCTAGTGAACAGTCATGTTTTCATGGCGTTGGCGTCCATAGTCTCCAATCTCCATGCCATTGATCATTGATTCACTTGCAGGGTTGGGCGATTCTGTCATAAAGCATCTAGCAGTTGACTTCAGACCTCACAATTTCGCTCCCGTTTTACGAAAATTGCGAGGTCTGAAGTTAACTGCTGGAAACTTTTTGACAAAATCGCCCAACTCTGTTCACTTGCGTCAATCGCCATTGTGTTTACTCACTAAAGTCGCTACAGTTGTTTCGAGTTTGAATTGAACCGTGTTGTGTACGTTATAAATGTCAAAAGAAAAACATAAATAACAAGTTTTACAAAATGTTAGTGGTGTTCTTTTTAAAAGTATATTTTAATTTTACATCTGCATTTGACGTAAAATCTTAATACAATTAATTATGATTCAATTTTATGAAATAACTTTAGTATCGATCATATTTTGTCATAACCTTTTTATATAAAATAGATAAATTTTTTTCATGCGGATTTTTAATGTAAATCTTACTTTTTTAGGGAAGCATCAAAACAAGAAAATATTTCAAGACAATCATCGGTAAGAAAAAATAAAAAAAAAATAAAATTTTTCTCTAACATTTATACTTAAATAGACACGATAAGTCCATGTTTTATTTAAAAATTTAGTGTATTTTGAAAGATGTATAAGATTAATTATTACTCAATAAAAATAAAAAATAAAATTACAGATTTTGAAAGCTCCAAAACAGCGCCAACCCTTACAAACTGTTGCTACAAATCCTTCTTCATCAGAAAGTTCTCCTACTATAAAAATCAAGAGGCGTGTTAGTTTTGCCAAAAATAAAAGGATAAGGTATATTTATAATCAGTAGTACATTGTAGTAAAGCTAATATATTTAAAGTTAATAACTTTAAGATTTTATAAATACTTAATAACCTTTTTAGAGAATTCTGCAATGAAGTTGAGCCAAAAGAAGGTTTGGATGATTCATATGAAGAACATGATCTTAGTAGCACAAAAAGCAGTAATGGTAATAGCACTGATCAGCCTTTAGTTATCAGTGTTGCATGCGAAGACAAAGAGAATTTTCCCATTCAGTTATTTTTACCTACTGATCAATTTGAGTGCAAAGAAATAATGCCAGTTCCTTGTTCTGCTAAAGGAGATTTTTCACAATATGAAATAGACATGGATCATTCAATCAATACATTGGAATTTATAAATGCTGAAATACAAAATCAAGAAATGTCTAATGCAACAATATATTTTGATGATGGTATGGACATAACAGCTTCTATTCAACCTCAGATCATTTCTGCACATATTGAAGAAGAAGCTTGTTATAATGATACTGTTCCTGTATCTAAAACATGTATTGAAGATATTCCTATGGAAATGACTGAAAATGTGCAATCGATACTGTCTAAAAAGTTAGTCCCTAATCAAAGTAAAAATCGAAATAATTCCTTAAATTCTACAGAGACCTGCTCTGCAATTTTAGGAATTGGACATGTAAAAAAATTATTAGAATCACAACATACTAAGCCTTTTGCAAAAAGTTGCGAAAATGAAACTGAATGTTTTACTGATGTACCTTTGGAATTTACTTCAATAATTCCAAGTTCTACCTGGATAAGACCATTTAATCAGAGCCAAGGTGGTGATGAAACTGAAAGATTCAATTGTAAAACTATGGAATTTACTGAAGTTGCACAACTTCATAATATTATGTCTAACAATAAAGCAGAAGAAATTTTAAATACATCAGACAAAGTCAAGAAAGTACTATTAGCTGATGAAAACAGTAAAATATCAAATATGTTGTTGAAACAAACTCAGCATAAGGAAGTTTGTCAAGAAAAAAATAATATCCTTTGTAATAGCTCAACAGTAATAAATGATGCCAGTTCAAACCAAAAGATGATCAATCAATCTGGTAATGTTAATTGTAATTTATTAGAGATAAGGCCAGAAACAACCAATTTTTTCAATAATGCATCAATGGAAATTACTGAAGCAGTTCCTGTGTTCAATGAAATAAAAATATTGAACAGATCAAGTATTGAAGAAGAGATACCACAAGAAAAAACTAAATTTTCTATAGATGCATCAATGGAAATGACTGAAATTATCACCAGTCAGAATAAAATAGATCAACATACTAGTCTTAAAAATAAAGAACTAGAACTAGATACAAACAAAACTAAATTATTTTCCAATATATCTATGGATATGACCGAAGCAATTCCTAATTGCCAGAAAATTGATCATCCCATTGAAATTATACCAAAATCTCATCAAGGAAATATACATGATAACACAAAGATTTTTATTAATAATTCAATGGAAATGACTGAAGCACTTGGTTTGAATGAAATTCAAAAATTAAACAATCGTAAAAATCAATTAATGATATCAGAAAAAGAAAAAAATCCATTCTTTGAAATTGCTGGAAAAATTCAACCAGGAAATATACCAGATAAAACAAAATTTTTCAACAATAATTCTATGGAAATGACTGAAGCACTCGGTGTGAATGAAATTCAAAGATTAAATTATTGTAAAAATCAATTAACGGTATTAGAACAAGAAAACGCTCGATTCTTTGATATTACTGGAAAAACTAAACTAGGAAGTGTATCCAATAAATCAAAATTTTTCAACGATAATCCGATGGAAATGACTGAAGTACTTGGTTTTAACGATATTCCAAAATTAAATCATTGCAAACGTCAATTATCAGCTCCTGAGAGTGAAAAAACACAAATCTTTTTCAATACATCCATGGAAATAACAGAAGCAGCTCCTATGAGTAATAAAATTAATAAATCGATACTTACTGTAAATAAAACTCATCACGAAACAATACAAAATAAAACAAAACTTTCTAATGATAAATCAATAGAGGTAACAAATTGTGTACTCCATAATACTGAAATTTCACCAGTCGACAAATTAGACAACAATCAATTATGTGAACCAAGAGAAGAAAAAACTAAATTATTTTTCAATACCTCTATGGAAATAACTGACAGTGCAGCTGAATTACTCAATAAAATTAATCAGCCTACTGAAAATAAGCAAATAACTATTCATAATGAAGATGTAGCACTTCAAAATACTGAATTGTTACATAATAAATCAATGGAGATTACTGAAGCAGTTCCCGTATATGATATTCATTTATGTACATCTGATAAAGGAACTATTCAAAAAGAATTTATAGAAGATAGGAACAAAATATTTCAAAATACATCGATAGAGGTAACTGAGGCTGTACATAATTACAACAAATCCGATCTATTGTGCAATTCCAAAAACCAGCTTGCAGAACTAGAACAAGAACAAACAAAGTTATTTTTTAATTCATCAATAGACATAGCTGAAGCTGCTCCAGTGATTAGCAGAGCTCATCAAATTGGTTCTGAATTGAAAAGTACACTTAGTAAAAATATACGAGACGAAATAGACAATTTTCAAAATAAGTCAATGGAAATGACAGAACCAGTTAAGAATCTCTGCAGTAAAAATTACCATTTTGAACAATCTATGTCAAAATCTCAAATTGATGATAAGCTGCAAGAAAAATCAAATAAATTCCCAAATATGTCAATAATGGAAACCATCTCTTTAAATAGAGAAATTTCGCAGTGCAATACAAAAAACAGTACAGATATATTGAAGCATAAAAACCTCGGAATTGAAACCATCAACTCTGATAATAAAACCACAGATAAAACTAAATACTTTAATAAGTCTATGGATTTCACAGAAATTCTACCAGTAATTAATCATCAAAGTATGTCACGTTACGTTCAAAATGAAGCTGCAAATGTAATAACAGACAAAACCAAACATTTCTACAATAATTCAATGGATATTACTGAAGCTGCAATGCAAAATCAAAATTCAATTAGCGCAAATCCTTCAACTTTGGCCAAGTCATTAAAAAATTCAGAAAGATTGCATCAGTATGACAGAAGCTTATGTAATGATACAAATGTTCCGAATCCAAATCATTTAGACAATAAAAAAGATAGTGTTTTTAATAGATCTAGTTACAGAGACAAAAGTTTTCAACGAATAACAACTGATGAATTGCATACTTTATGTGCATCCATGAATTTGCCAACTCAAAACTACACAGCTGAAAGGAACACAACTTTACAAAATGATTATATATCTATATGTAACGACGTAAATGTTCTACGAGATTCTTTACAAAAAAATAGCATTTTTCAGCAAAATTTTACTATTGGTAGTAGTATCAGTGTAGCAGTAGATAATAATATACAAATCTCTACCAATGTCAATGGAAGCACGAACAAACAAGATGATCTACAAATATTTTGTAACAAAAATTGCAATTCAGATGAAAAAAGAGAGATTACAAGTAAAGAAGAATTAGACAATTTAGTTGCTGGATCTGAAAAAGAATACAATAACAGTGAAAAAGACGTTTCAAGAGAAAAAAACCTCAGAGTTTTCGAAATAAAATCAATAGAATTAAATAGAATCAATAGAAATTCGCAAGATCAAAACGTATCTGGTGTATCGAATAAAAGTATGACAATTGGCAATCATACCGAATATTCAGAATCTAATATTTTAAATGAGAAACAAACTTGCGGAATAGAAAGCAATATTCATTGTTTAAATAAGAGCGAAATAGTTCAGATTCATAATAATACTTCACCAACATTTTCAAATACTCAAAAATCATCCATTAAAAGGAAATCCTCGGAGATGGATGAACATTTTGAAATTGTCGAAAATAGTTTGAAAAGATTACCATCAGATAATACAGATTTTCTTATAGCGACCATGGGTATTAGAACTGAATTATCCCATCCTTTGATTATTAATCATAAAACTACGATAAAAGTTCCTTGTACGCCTTTAGAAAATAATTCTCACGGTCTTAGTTTTTCTTCAGATGAATCGATTCGTCTTGAAGAAAATATTAGTAGAGGAGAGCATGAAAAATCTTCAAAAAATAAAACAACTTCTATCATAGAAAATGAAGTATTTAATGATGATCGTAGTTATTTGGATAAAGAAAATAACATTTCAGAGAATAAAGAATGTCTTGAAAAGTTTGAATCGTTTTCAGAAAATTTTATAATGAATGAACTCGATGAAATTCAACCGCCTTCGTTTTTGTGTTCAGACAGTTTTCAAACTGATTCTATTGTTGATGCCGAAGTTCCAAACAATAAATCATCAGATGCCATACCTAGTGACATAATTCAAGAACAAATAAATATAACATTCGAAAATCAATTCTGTACAGTAAACAGCAATTCATGTAATTCCAAGAATTCATCAACACGAGAAACAAAGCAGAGTTTGGAAAAGGACTTTTTACCTTCAATAAGTACACATACAGTAGGCTTAGCGACGATTTTTCATAAAGAAAATAGCGAAACAGTTGATAAACTAGAATCTTTTAACAGTTCAAAACATGTTAATGATTCAGAAATTAGTCTCATAAATGAAGAAGACGTTAACATTGATCCTCTTGCACCCTTTATAGAATTGACGAAAAGCATTGAAATTTACGAACGAAGGTATAATCTAATTATTTTTTCATTACATCATTGTGAAATAAAATATATAGTATAAACTCGATAAGTAAATAATATAAATGTGTTATGCAATAACGTTATAGGGACGATTGCATATGGACTATACGAAAAATTGACCAAAAAACGGTTGCAGTAAATTTCATATCCGAATCATTTGTAACCATTATAAGACTCAATGAAATCGAAAAAGCTTGCATAAAAGATATTGATAATATAGAATTTATATCTCGGCTTCATTGTAAGTATACAATTACATAAATGTTTAATATATCGATAAATAACTCTTTTTTATGTTTAGCTGATACGAAAAATATTTTATTAAAAATTGTTCATTGTCTGCTACTGTCCAAATTAAAGACTGATAAATTATTATCACAATATAAAATGTATGAAGATGTTTTGCCATTATTAGATTTCATATCAAATGAAGTCATTTTGACAATGAATTTTATGTTTGATTTGGAGCGATTAAGTTCATTAAATTTATTAAACGTAGAAAGTGAAAGGTAATATAATTTATAAAGCTTCGTTAAATTAAGGAACCTTTTCTTGGTAAATTTAAATGTATCTGTATTTTTTTAGAGTATTGTTCATGGTGTCATCCAAAAAGGGAAATATAATTTTAGAAATTTCATTGATGCTTAAAGTTTTTAATGAGATTGGTCCTGACGATATAAGTGTAACATGTGTACTAGGCGACGTCAGGTAAATTTATCAATTATTCTACAATTCATTAAAAATATTGTAAAATTTTTATTTGATTTTATTAAAAATGAAATATTATTTCTAGAATAAGTGATATTAAACAGTTGATAGTAAACATTAGAAAAGATTCGTCATTCTTGAGCAGATATATTAAAGATGTTAAAGACTATATTATGTTAATGGAGGAATCTACTCATGTGCTGAGATAAAAAATAAGTTCTATATGCAGGGTAATATATATTCAAAATTATTATTCATCTAGTTTTTATAAAAAATTGTAAATAAACTACCATACAAATATATAATACAACTGGTTTTATATAACAATGCTCGTAATTTTCAATTGAATTATTTGAGTATATACTTTTACATTGATAATTTCTAAAAAAATTCCTCTAAGTATTGTACAATATAGTAGTAAGATATATCTTTTAGAATGTATATGACTTAAACGTGTTAGATTTATTAAAAATAAAAATATTACGATATTGATTAATAACAAATGATTTTTTGACAAAACTATGTTCTTCGAAAATTCTCGGTTCAGTTAGTTTATCTATTTTATCTATTTTATGAATAATTTATAGATCCATTTTAAATACATCAAGATTCATAAAATATACATTTAAATAATTTTCTGTTCACCAGTGTGTTTCACAAAATGTTTGGCACAAAAAAAAATACTTTTTTGATACTCCGTGCGCAAAGTGTGTCTTTCCCGCACACTTGGTAGAAAACGTGCGTTGAAAATCATACTTTCCACACCTCGTATCAAAAAATACGGTACGGCACATGTTCGGGAAAGAGTTTCTCGTCTCGTGTACCTTTCCACTCTCACCTCGCTCGGGTGTAAACGCCACACGAGACAAGAATCTACTTTCCCGCACTTGTATCGTAATGTACTATATAAAGTAATAATCATTGTGACTGAAGAAAATGCAAAAAAACAACCATAACCTTTATTGACATGAGTTTATGAACCTCCTTAATTTTTTAAGCGTATTTTTTATTAACAAATACCAGTAACACTTGAAGAGGGTAACATGGTTACCGAAATGTTATGAATGCAAACTACTTTTGTGTGTATTCCTTTTTACACCTTTGACACGGAGAGATCGACAAAATAAGATATGTATACTTTAAAGTAGTTTAACATTGCTAACTGATATATGCTAGTTCAATAATTGTTGATATGAAAAGTCATAAAGTATCAGAAATATTCTAATTCATGCTCAATCATTGACTTTACAATACATCTCCACACACATATATTGTATTATCTTTAATAAAATTAATAATTAAATGAGGCTATCTGAATATATAATTACACGCATGTAAATCAATCTTTGAAAATCAAATCATAATCAAATAAACAATTATATCACCTACTTCAGTTTTAATATATGTCAAAGATTCTTTCTGTTTTGATAGATTTGAAGAAGATGCCATGTTACTTTAAACTTTATAAGCATGACCATTCTTTATTATATATATTTCTTTTCATAAAAATGTGAATGATATACTCTCACTGCTAAAGCTCTTTAAATACCGTTGAATAAGTAATTATTTAGGTTAATTACTTAGGTTAAAAAAATTAACAAACATTTTTTTATAAATTAATGTTTTTATAATAATGAACTTTAATAGTAATATTTTCTTCCAGTAATAAGTATTAGTTTAGAAAATCTATGGGAAGAACTAAAATCAGCAACAATATACAAAAAAATTTTTTAATACACACTGAAACAATCTAAAGAATTATCTTTAAAAAATCAAGTGATAATGTAGTCTAATAATTTTATGTTTATATTAATAAATAAAAAAATGAGTAACATGTATGGAAATTTATATAGCTAAAATTATAAAAGAATTTCTATTAAGATTTGTTCTAAAATTTATTCCACATTTTGATAAATCTTTATAAATTATATATATGTGCAGTCTAATGAAAATATAAAATTAAATTTTATTTTCTAAGTCTTAAACATATTATACATACATAATAATTAAAAATTTATATACTATTGATCCATATCTTCATGATCAAACTCATCAATTTCATCACTATTATGTCTTCCATCATTGTCACTTGAACTGGAACGATCAGTTATTGAAAAGTCATATTCTTCTTTTTCTTCCTTTTTTAATTGAGCTTTGTATTTTGCGTATTTGTAGCCATACCTTTCAACATCTGCTTTATCAAGTCCATATACAAAATCATTGTCATCGTCATCATCACTTGAAAGTTCATTATCAACATTGAGTTTTTTCATAGCGTTTCTCATATCATTTTCTTCCACAGATTCCTCTGAATATTCAGAATCTGGGTATTCATTTTTCCAATTTGATTCAGAGTTTGAATCTTCTGATTCTTCTCTATATTCCTCTTCATTATCTCTGTAATAATCTTCAAAAACTAAATTTTCTTCTGCAGGTAAAACTGAGACTAAATCATTAATCCTTATAGCATCTTTTGTTTGAGTATAATAAAGATCATATACATATCCAGTATCGGACTAAAAATACAAAAATAAAACTATTAATGTACACATATAAATTCAGTATTGAAAACTACAATATTTAATAACTAGAACCTTGTCATTCTGAACAGCTTTTGTATCTTCTATATCAATAACATTAATTACATCTTGGTCCAGATCATCAATCATAGACGTATCTAATGATCTTATATTGCTGATAATTTTGTAACGATTCTCATTTGATTCTTGTTTAGTTTTTTCCCTTACTTTTTTAGTGATATCAACAATGTGTTGTTTGAAATGAGATTTCAGGGCCTCTTTACTTAATGTTTTAGTAATGTGTTCTACAACACAATCATCCTAAAATATCATTTATAATTAAAAGCTACTACTGTTAATGAGCTCATTTATTAAAAAATGAACAATGAAGAAATAATTACCGGTTTTTCAATAGTTCCTGCAAATTTTACAATTGCTGTTACTGCACTTGATTCTGAAACATCATCGTACTCTACTTTGGGCCGTTTGCAAGAAATTATTAGAGCATCTTGTGGTTCATCATCCTTTTTACGTTTTACACGCAAAATTGCAGCCATTTTTGGCAATGTAATTTATACAAAATAAAATTTTAGAGCTGTTAAAACTAAGCAAGAAAGCACGTACAGACACTATTTTGATGTTTGTAGGTAGAGGTTATGTAGTTATGTTTTGATGTCATGTTACACATTGGAGACTGTTTATATATATACATACATATAAGTCAAATACAGTTGAGCTCTAAGTTATCGGACGACGGTATAAAAAAATTAGTGATATAGATTTTATATTAAGTTGCGAAATTAAATATCTTTTTATATTTAACTTAAGAAATATGATTACTACCAAAACTGCCGTGAAAAGAAAAATACACGATGAAATGTCAATTGAACCAGAGAATGCCTCAAAAATACGTAAAGTTGAAAAAATACAAACGGTAAACAAAGAGCTACATTCGATCAATGAAGCTGATTCTTCAGTAATTTATAGTTCAGGAGTAAAGTTTATTAAGATATATTTCAAAAGCATTGATTGCATTCAACAGAACAATTCAATTGATAAGTATGTACTGTTTTGATTTCAGAAAAATATTAGTGCAACTGAAGTCCGCCAAAAGCTTTCGTCCACCCTACATTTTGAAAGGAAATATAAGTATTTTTGTAAGAAACATAATGTTCTATATTTAATTGAAAAGGCAAGAAGAACCTCTGCAGAATTATCTAAGAAAAGTCGAGACCATCTTATCAATAGCTTTCGATCTCTCGATTTAACGAAAAATGTTTCTGCTGACACATATTTAGGCAACCCTCAACGCCATTTGGTATGAATTCCATTCAATAAAATAAAATGTTTTCGTATTTTCGTTTACCACGCAGTCTAAGGAATATGAGATTGATAAAAAAAATGTGATTTTGCAACTTTCCTGAACTTTTGATGACCACATAAAATTATAATTATTTAAATGATATACTTGATTACTAATTATGTTCAATATCTATTGCACACTTTTGCACAACATTATTCTGTTTATTAAAAATGGTGTAATTTACAGATTTTATATTTTTTAATTGTTGAATATTTTATATTCATAGACAAGTATGGAAGTCGAATTTAATGATGGCGACAAAGATTCGTTTGAGCAGCCACCATCTCATTCAGACATAACAGAATGCAAAATACAAAGAATTTTCGTAATTTCCAATGAAAATAGAACCGATACTTACTCAACACGGCACAAGAAAAATGTGCTTTTTAACGACCAATCAACAAACAAAATTAGCTTAAATCAATTAATACATCGCTTTATTTTGTGCGATGAAAGTGAAGATAGTGACTACGACGAAGGATACCCAGAAAGCGAGGAATGTTATGAAACTTCAAAAGATGAAAACTTTATTTTGTCAAAAAGTCCAGGAGGAACTAGTGTATTTATGAAAAAAATTGAAGACTCTGATGACGAAACTGATTATGAAAAATGTTGTTCTCATCACTACTGTGCTTTGAAGGATTACTATAACAATAATTTATACGATGCTAATAGTTCCTTAGCTGAAGATTAATGATTAACTGATGATTTATGTTACTATAAAAAGATTAAATAATTCGAAAAGTTCATTTCAAAAGGTAAACTTATTTCAATACTATTTAAATGATTCAGAATTTTATTCGTATGTTTATATATTTATTACATATTTATATAGATATAATCTGGTGTAAAATTCATCTATCAAAATAAAAACAATAAACACAAGTCTAACGTAAAAGACTTTGATGATGATGATATAAAGATTCAATTGTTACCACGGGAAAACATGTAATCACGTCAAATAAAACCATGCAATGTTGTTTTTTAACAGCATCACTATAGAATACAGTAACATGGACGATTCCTTTTATTTTCTTTTACAATTAATGAAATAAGTTTCGGTTTGGTTAAAATAATGTCAAAATTTCGTATACTTTATCATTTCTATCAGTATTACGACCTTCAGTGACGGTTAATCCATACATTGTATAAAAGTCAGCAGAAGAAATGTATATGATGATTTTACGTCTTTCGAGCTCATACAATAATAAACTGATATCACATTCGATTGATACTGGCGCGCATTTGATTTTTATTTGATATCTTTACCATCACACACTCGACTTTTTTTCAATTTTATCATTCAAACGATTATCAAGCCTCACGCGTTGCGAGAAATGGCGTCATTTAAAATGTTACCATGGAGAAATTTATAAATTTTCATGTTTTTTTCATCGCATGATATATGAGTAGTACACTTCGTATACATGTAACACTGGCCTTAATAACTAATTTATACATTTGCACCTCTCTAGATAACAAACATGTAATATTTTGTTTCGTAACTTTTTTCTCTATGAGACACTGATTTATCCATCTATTAAAATTTATGTTCGTATAATGTAAAAATATGACGAATTTAAAATAACTAAACCATTTCTTCCATCAGAAAATACTTAGGAAAATCGAGACGAAAATTATGTCATAAATATTTCAAAATTAGGTTCATTGAGAGGTGCATAACTACTTATTTTATCATGTATGTATACATACATATACATACACACACACACACACACACACACACACACACACACACATATATATATATATGCATGTATAACATGTTACTTTGCAAAATAACTTAACAGATTCACAAGTTGAGATTGGTATCATTCAAAATCGTGTCTTTTTCCTTATGTGCTTAATACTCTATTCCCTACTGTACATCATTATACATTCGGTCTATTTGAAACTCTTCGAATCACGCGATACTTTTATTATGCTATGAGATTATTCAATGGTCATGAGATTTCCCTCGTTACAGTGTTTCAATTTATGAAAGAAAGTCAAAGATTCTTATTTGAAAATTAATACAACGAGACTCGCATCGATCAATCAAGGATATTCTATTTTTATAAACAATTCAAAAATTATATTTAAAATGATGATACTACGCGTCTTTCCAATTAAAACTCTTAACGAAGTTACAATTTTATGAAAATAACTTTTCAAATACGTATATGATATATCTTTTTATATGTAGAAATGGTGGTACAATTATCTATGTACAAATTAATTGTTTTTGCAAAACTTAAAAAGCTTTCCGCGATTGTTAATAGTTTTATTGTAATCCCTGTTAAGTCATGCTTTTTTTATTTCTTGCACAATATCATTCTCTCCTTTGCACAAGCCAACTTTTTGAATGTCTTATATTTACATTTTATTATAACAATATTGTAATCCTATAATAGGTTTTTGCTTGGCTAACACACAAACGTCTGACGATTGTATGTCTCTTATAAAACGTAATGCCGTATGTACATTATTTTGCTGGTTCGAAAAGTCGAATCTTACATGTACAAACAATTCCCTGGATCAACAAAAAAATCACACATTGTTTATCGTCACTTAATAAAACAAATAACCAATGTTCTAAATGTATTAATAAACTGGCAACAAGTAACAGTCCTATAAAGCTTCTCGCTCGAGCGTCGGTCTCATATTTTTTCAAGTCTCATATCAATTGAATCTAGAATAAACGAAAAATGCCGACTGGTCATAAAAAATTTGTAACAACTGATCCTAAAAATTCTAAAAATACAAGTAATATGAACTGAATGAGCGCCTACAAATTTAACCGATGAAATACGTGAAAATGACGAAAGAATATTTGTCGAATCAAGCGTCGAACATTTTCGATCGAAGTTAAAGGATCAGACCGAGATGGCAAGCTCAACGAGCTCAAAGTACGGAAGCCTCGGTACGTCCAGCAGGAGGCGTAGTCGCCGGCGTTGCGGCCGCTGCACTGTTATTATTGTTATTGTTGTTGTTGTTGCTCGCCTCGCCCGCGTGACTCGAGCAGTAGAACTTTTTGTGGGCGATGAAAGTACTAAGGTAGTTGAAGCTGATGTCGCACGAGCGACAGTACCGCGGACCAGGCTTACTAGCATCGAGACTTTCCTCCGGGGGTGGCGTGTCTTCGCGCTCCTGCTTGACCTTGCCCGAAGCAGCGGTCGATAGCGGCGCAGCCGGCACTGGCGAAGCTGCCGGCGACGTGGCTGGCGGCGCTGCCTGTGGACTTTTACGAGAGATCAGGGGCTCGCTCTTGCCGTTCACTTGTTGCGGATCCGCGGGAATTTCCTCCGGGGTCGTGGCCGGCGCAGGCTCAGGGGTAGGCGCCGCTACGTCGTCCTCCAGCAAGCACGTTATGTAGCTCTCTTCCTGAAAGCCAGTCGGACCTCGAGTCGAGATCTGCAACGCGATCGATTGCGCAAAGCGCAATTGACTGTCCGCTTACCTGGAGATCGGCTCCGCGCTTCTCGAAATGCATTCTGATGTGAGTCCGCATTCCTCGCAACGTGTTACCCTTGTATCGACAAATGGTACATCTGAAAGCTTTCACTCCTTGATGTGCGTCCATGTGTCGCTGTGCCGCCCCCGCGGTTGGACTGACAGCTCCGCAAACCGGACATCTCCAACCGCCACTTTGGCCACTCGTGCACGCGTGGCTCGCCCCCGCTTCGATGATCGCCTGTGGGAATAAATGGCGACTGACAGACCGCGACAAGGGCTCGTTGAAGTATCGAGAAGAACTTGGGATCGCAATACCTTGCACTTTGGACACCGCGACTGGTGATCGTGAGATTCGGATCTTTTAAGGCAGTAGAACGCTTGATGAGCAACGAGATTGTCCATCGAGGCGAATTTGATACCACACGGCGCGCAGATCAGCTGGACCAGCGGAGGCGACGGCGTGCCAGCGGGCGGCGGACTCGTTACGCTACTTTCGCGTGCCTGACAGTAATGCTTCTTGTGGGCGACGAAATTCTCGTGCCGGCAGAACACGATATTGCACTCCTTGCACCTGTGAATGAGTTGCGAGAGAATCGTTGGAATGATCCGGACCCGAGCATTAGCATAATTAGCATTTAGTACCTGGAGACACCCTGCTTGACGAGAACACCGGGAACGGGTGGCGGCGGCAACTCGGCGAGCCTGAGCGCCAACTCGGTGTGCGGCGCGGGCGGCATCCGGTCGATCGACTGCGTCGCGGACAGCGATCGAGCGCGCGGACTGGCGCTGCCTCTGGACCTCGGGCTGCCCGGCGGCGGCGGCGGCAACGAGTTGGCCAGCGGCGAGACTCGGTTCTCCTTCTCGTGGTCCTAGCGCAAGACGAATAATGTCGGTCAGGTCGCGCGGCGAGTCGGGTAGCGCGGGTCGGAGCGCGGGGCGGAGCGCCGCTCACCGGGGACTTGCGCACGCTGAGGTCGAGGGGTGCGGAGGCGGCCGAGTTGGGCGAGCCGGCGCTCGCGGGCGCGACGGCCACCGGCGTGGCCGGCTTGTTGACCGCCCTGAGCACGCTGCCGTCGAGGCCGGCGCCGGAGGGCGCGCTGGCCGTGGTGGGGCTGCTGCTGGTCACGGCGCTCAGGCCGCGGGTCATGGGCTGGAGCGTGCCGTTGGGCAGGAGGAAGCACGGCGTGTCCGGGGCGGGCAGGCCCGGGGCGGCGAGCACCGAGGCGCCGCGCACCAGCGAGTACGGCACGATGAGGATCGGATTGGTCGGCAGGGCCAGGCACGGCTGCGGCGGCGGCGAGTCCCCGGGGCTGGAGCTGGTGGGCGGCGAGCCCTTCATCGACGAGGCGCTCGTCGACGAGGCGCTCGTCGCCATGCTCGCCGAGGCCGTGTCCTTCACCACGTGCCTCGTGCTGCAGTAGTGGGTCTTGTGCGCGCGGTACGTCTTGAGCGAGCTGAACCTGCGAACGTCGGTCGGTCGTTAGCCAGGCGGCTCGCGCGGCGCACGAGCAAGCGTAACGAGGGCAAAGCGAGCACCTGATGTCGCAGTTCCGGCAGTATCTCTCGGCCTCCTCGTTGAGCGAGCCGTTCGCCGGCGCGGCGGCGGCGCCGCCGCCGCCGCTGCCGCCGCCGCCGCTGTTCTGCTGGGCCGCGGCGGCCTGGTTGGCCGAGTTGGCCGGCAGCGCGGCGGCCGGCTGGACCGGCTGCACGGGCGAGGCCGCGTGCATCCGCATGTGCCGATTGAGCGAGACCTTCTTGTCGGCGCTGTAGGAGCAGTGCGGGCACGCGTAGGCCTTGCGCGTCTCGAACTTGCCGGCGCTGTTCTGCCCGGCGGCGGCACTCGAGCTGCTCTTCTCGTCGTCGTCCTCGTTGTTCTCGGCCTCGCTCTCCAGCCGCGGCCTGTGCGAGCAGTAGTACTTCTGGTGCGCCTCCAGCGTGCTCGCCGAGCTGAACCGGATGCCGCACGGCGGACACATCAGCGGTATCGGGCGCGAGGCTGCGGCAGCGGCCACCGCTGCCGCCGCCGCCGCTGCCGCGTCTACGCTCAGGCCGTCCTTGCTGTCGTTCGGCAGCACGAATAAGCGGCCCGTCGCTATCGCTGCTCACGGATGAAAAAGCGACGTGTTACAAGCCCAAGGCGAGTAGCGAGGGGCAACTGTCAAAGGCTTTTACCATTCTGAAGACCAGCGGAGAGCGGCGGCGTGGAATTCGGCGGCGAGGCCGAGTTTTCGGGCTTGATGGTGAGAGCGGCGACGGCCTGGGGTCGCAGAGCAGGGTCCGTCGCCAGACTAGCATTGAGTCTCAGTCTGGGCGCAGCATGGCCAACCGTGCCGGCTATCATAGCCACGTCGTCGTCGAGGCGCGCCCTCTTGGCCTCGGCGATCAGCGTCACTTCGTCGACGGACGAGCAGCGCGTCCTCGAGTCTTCGGAGTCGCGGCGCGTCGACTCGTTGCGCTGCCGGCGATGGCCGCTGCCGCCACCGCCGCCACCGCCGCCACCGCCGCCACCGCCGCCGCCGTTGTTCGACGAGGACGAAGACGAGGAGGCTCGGCCAGCGCTGCTCTCCTCTTCCTTCACTGCCGTGTTAGAGTCCTCGTCGGTTACGACCGTGTCCAGCCGGCTCAGGGATTTCGGACTCGAGTCTTGCACCGAATTCGGCCGTGGCGGCTGATGGTGGTGGTGGTGGTGGTGGTGATGGTGGTGGTGCTGCTGCTGCTGCTGCTGCTGGCCGCGCGGCTGCTCTCGCGGCGCTCGTCCGCTCTGCAAGTGACAGTGGCCGTGAGAACGTGGCGCGCGAAACGAGCGCACGCTGAGAAATAGACAGAGGACGCGAACCTCGTATTCGTCGGTAAGCGAGGCGAGCCGCTTCCTCGCATCCTCGGGCAGGGCACTCAGCCGGAGTAGGATGTCGTCGGCGACTCCGGCGACGGCGTTGAGTCGAGGTGGAGGCGGCAGCGTGACGAGCTCCTCGTCGGCGAGCTGACCCGTGGGGCTCGATACCGCTGAGCCCCCGCCTTCCAGTCCGCTGCTTACGGACGGTGTCTTTTCCGAGTCGCTCCACTCTTCATCGTCCCCTGCAACAGCGACATTTATCAAAAACCATTTTTCAAACTATCCTTTGCAATCACTCGTTTAGTCATTTCATATAAGCGTTAATATAGCTCGCTAGCTTCCTGCCATTAATGCTAGTTTGTTCGACGATTATGCTTATTATGCTTATTAGCGGCGAACGAGCACGCCAGAAAGTTGCCGTGTGATAACGTGATAACAGCCTGACTAAGAGGAAGTCCCCACGTTTTCGTGCAAATTATTGCAACTCATTTACAAATCGAGAAATTCCCGAGCGATAAGGTGGCGACCACATAAATGGAAAGTTTTCGATAAATTAGCCTGGTTTTAAAAAAGACAAAGAGCAGCGCTCAGGATCATTCGAAACGCCAATGAAAAGCAGTCGCAAGCTAAGTTGTAATATACTAACGAAAGCGGCGCGGCGCGCATTTGAATCCGGAAATCCGTCGGGCAACCAGAACCATGTCACCCGCAGCAGTGGCGCACTCGCGGCAGCAGCAACGGGATAAGGTCTACGGAAAGGTAAAGCGCGCAGACACGTAAACAGGCAGCTCGCTCCGCAGCAGGCAGCTCGTGGAGGACTGAAAAAGCGAGCAAAAGGAAGGCGACACGTAGCTCGAAAGTGGTGCGTCCCTACTGCGCTGCGTGAGCGCGCCTATCCCCCGTTCGTTTTCCGCGATCCCCTCTCCGTCGCCTATCGTCGGTCTACATAACGTGCGTGCGTGCGAGCGAGCTGGCGAGCCCGATATCTCCACTCGTCGCGCCGTATCGCGACCGGCGCAGCTCTTAGGATCCTTATCTCTGGTCGAATGCCTGCCTGCCTGCCTGCCCGCCTGCCTGCCCGCCTGCTCGCTTCGGCTAAATCAGCACGCCAACGCAATGCAACCACGGACTTGTGTCTACCCTTGAAACCCCCGTCTGCCCCCTATCTCCGGCTATCTCGCTCGCTTTTTCGAGCCTGCGAGGCTCGCGCTAGCTCGCTTTATTTTTCCCACTGGCTAATTTCGGACGATCCAGCTCTGGCAACTCGAATGATTATTTATTCGTGGCATCTCCGACAAGCGATTAAAAGTAGGCCGAGCAGATATAGATAAGATCAACGAGCGACCAGATGGGTCTGATTCTCCCGACGAGTCTGCTGGCAATGGGGGAAATGAAGCAGAACGCGCGACGTACGTGGGACAAAAGGCGGCTAAAGGGAGAGGCGCAAAGACGAGGAGAAGACAAAGTATTTCCGGAGAGAGCGCGCCAAGCTGCGAATTCTTATTAATTAAGAGATAAAAGTGGCAGTTGGGTAATCTAGCACAGGCGCAGTGGTCGAGTGGAGCTTTGGGGAGGCAGTCTAATTTCTTTTTGGGGCTGCTGCTGCTGCTGCTGCTGCGATCGTGCCTCGGGCGTAACACCTATCAGGAGGGCCGCCACACGACGACGTTTTAATTGCCCAGAGGTCCTGCGAATCCCAAGAAGAGAGATGCGCCGCCGCGATAGAGTCATGAGCACACGGCGCTCTCGCTCCCTCGCAGCCTCGCAGCTTCCACGGAACTAGCTGGCGCGTAGTGTGGCTCGACTCGGGCCTCCCGTTTATCGCGCTCTCCGCATCTCGTATGCCAAAGGTGCGCGCGCGCCGTGCACTCATCGCCAGCGCCTAGCCGCCCGCCGCTGCACTCGATTCTTATAATTGCGACGGCACGCAACACCGCCACGCCGGCTACTGCGTCGGGACTGGGCCGCTGTAGCGCTTTAATCGAGCCTCGTTAGCGGCTCCCCTAGCTGCACATCGAGGCGCGAGCGCGTATTTTAATGTCGACCTTTTTCTCTCGACAGCCTCGCGGCAACGGCTCCTTGACGATTTGCAGGATAAATGCATAAGGCGCGACTCGCGCCGCGAGTTCCAGTGCCGACTGCGAGCGGCACATTTTAATGGAGAGGCCACTCGCGCGCGCCGAGTGAGTTGCTTACGGGGTGTACGACGTATATCGTCGCGGGGGCACGGGCCAGTGCGCGAACACGGCCACCATTAACATATCCGCGCTCGCTGATAAAAGCCTTTTCTCCGAACCAATCCAACCTGCACCTCCGCCGTCGCGCTCTGCGCCTCACCTCACAGCTGCAATGCTCCTGAGCTTTCTACGTCTTCCTTTACTCCCTGCATTTCTTTCCTCTTTACATTTCATCCAGAGTAACTATCGATCCTTTCGTTTCAGTTTGCCGGGCAATTTTCTGTAATAGGAAAACCTCGTCGTCCAAGATGTTATTTCTAGAGCCCAACGCAACTTGAAAATTTGCACGCGAGAGCAAGCTCGACACACCTCTATATTTATGCCGAAAGTCTTTCGACCGTTTTCTCGACGGTAAATGCTCTGCCCTCGATCAAAAGCTTGCTATCATTTTTCGCGTGCGTTCATTTCCAATTGACGTTGCTCAAAAGATCTCAAGAGGCGTAGAGTATCGCTTGCGCTATCGCTAGAATAAACGATATATAAGACATGGGCAATGCAAAGAGGATAGCAAAAGTCAAGAGGTTAACGTCTCAATCTCAGCGGGGGACGCGGGGAATTGTGCAGGCGCACGCGTGATAGACTCATTACCGTTCATTTCCTTTGCACGTTGCACATCGCAGTGACCATTCTTTTCTCTCTCTTTCTTTCTCTCTTATTGGCTGGCAGTGCAGGTTACAGCGATCGAATCATCGGGGCTACTTAAGCTGGCTGCAGTAGCAATGTTTGCTGCTCGGCAGCTTGTGTGCGAGTCGTTATCAGCTGCCGAGCAGGACGACTGCTTTAACCGCGAGAGAGATGAGAGTCTCTCTGTTTCTTTCTGTGCAACGTACAGCAGCAACTTCATCTCTCGGGGAGCTATGCAAATAGGATCCTGATCGTGACGGTACGAGCAGCACGCGACGGCGACGGCGACGATGACGGTGACGACGACGACGACGACGACGACGAGGACGAGGACGAGGACGAGGACGATGACAGCGGCAACGGCGACGGGGACGAGTGCGACGGTAAAGACAGAAGGAGAAAGACAAGTGGTCACAGGCAAGCAAGCGAGTTGCTCTGGTCTTGGAGAGCGACGAGTGCACTACATCCTCGGTTAAAGGCCGCTCTACACGCCCGAGAGTGCGATATGCTAATGCGACCAGCCGGCAACTATACTCGCGATCGTGACACCGTTGCCCCGCTAAGTGAGAGCTCAAACTCTTTGCCTCGCTGCTGCTGCTGCTGCTGCTGCTGCTGCTGCCGCTGTTGCCGCTGCTGGCTGCTGATGCTGATGCTTCACCACGTTAGATATTTTCAGACATGCCGCACACTTTTATCATTACGCTATAGCTTACGCGTGGACAACTGCTGTAATCCAAGTCTGAAATCACAGCTGACGTTGCATAAAAGAAAGTCATACATCTAACCTATTGTCGTGGGATACGACAATAACAAATCTGAATTTCTAACGTCTACGGACAAGTCATTGTGTGCGCCAGCAAAACCATTTCGTAATCAAGGAATCGTTAGCTGACGAAAGTAGAGGACATTTATGAATCTTTGAAGTAGAATCCCGACAATGTTGTACTCGCAACTCAGCTCCTTCCTTCTTTCGTTTACGTGCCAATTATCGTACCTGGCTCGAGAATGGTCTTTTCTCTTCAGAACACGTGTAATATCAAAAATTACGTTTGCGTATTGGCATATCGGCTCTCGGTTCGAGGCCCACTTATAAAACTAACTAAAACTAGCAAGCAGGACGTTCATTTCACGCAACGACTTTTTCTTTTCTTCTGCCTTGTACCGTTCGAGAAATGCGCAGCTTTCGCGCGCTCGCGCAAGTGTGATGCCCCAGCACCTTGCGCCGCGCGTTCAACAACTCATTCGCAAGAATCAGACGCATGAATAATGCGATCTCGTATGTGCTCACTCTGCGCGAGTGCAAGGAGCTTCCGAGAAGCTCACTTCCAGGACGTACGCCGTCTCTCTCTCTCTCTCTCTCTCTCTCTCGCTCTTACTCTCTGACGTGAATTGAACGCGCCTCGTGCTCGGGAAGAACCGCGTTGTTATATAAAAAAGACGAAGAAGAACAGATAGCCTTCGCTGATTTATCATATTAGCTCGTTATAACTCACTGCTACGCATTAATTTACACGCGGGAAAGAAATTCAAACATGAAATTACCTTCGGAGATCCATGATCTTTCCAGCGACTTTAAACATTCAAGGGACTCTCGAAGAAAAAATATGTTATTTTGGAAACGAACTGTCCATCGCAATTTCGAAAAAACGAACGAACCATTTTACAGGAATGATCTGAAATGGAAAGCATTCCTCGTTGGTCAATTAAGTTGGGAGGTAAGCAGTGGTGCAAGTATTGTGATCTCTCAATTTAGCCGTAGCAGAGAGACAAGAGGATCACGAGCGGGGGCGAGAAGAGCAACACGAGCAGACGAACGAAGAGCACGAAGAAGCGAGGTTGCGACGCTAACAGGCGACCTTTGGCGCGCGCGACAGATGTACGTCGGGACCTCGGGCGGTATGTGTGTGTGTGTGTGTGTGTGTGTGTGTGTATGCAAGACACTCTTTGCTCCTGTTGTATCAATTATAGACAGTGCCGGGCGGGCCCCGATCAACGGGCCCGATCTCATCATTATGAGTCCATCGCTTTCAACCGAATGAAAATAAATACCAGGAATCGGTCGTACGATATTGCGATCGAGCTTTGGCTGTGTCGACGTTGCGCGCGCGTTTGTTACGCTACCCTGCTGGGCCAACGGACCGTGCTCGTATTGCCAGCGCTCTGCAGCTTGCGAACGCGTGATCTCATCGCGAGTACGAATGCCTGAATAGGACGCTGCGAGCACGATCATTCGTCTAACGAATTATTTTCGAACGGCGCGTGACGCTTACAAAGTTCATCGTACGATTATCGGCCATTACAGTCCGGAAAGCCTCTGGTGCCTCTCTCTCTCTCTCTCTCTTTTTTCATCTCGCGCGCGGCTACGCCCCGCTGCACCGTAAGCATTTTCAAGAAGCCACTCAAATTTCAGGCTCGATTATACAGGGACTTCCTACGCGTCAGCTCGGCTTTAGACCGCGCAAGGATATGGCAATCTCGCTGTTTCAAATTCCACTCAAGCTATCGATACTTTTTTCGTGCGAAATCCAATCGTCTTTCAATCTTCGCTGCCATAATGTTATAACTCGAGATCGCAAGCTGTACGCTGATCGCGTAGAGTCGTCGTTGCGAGCGAGAATCCGATAGACGCAGGAAAGGGAAGATAGGCAGCAATACTCGTGCGCAACAGATTTTCAGTTGTTCCGCTAACATTTGCCGCCGCGGCAGCGACGATCTGGCAGTTTCAATCTTCCTCTCTCTCTCTCTCTCTCTCTCGTGCGCTTGCGTGTGATTGGTCTTTGGCTGTGGGCCTCGAAGAGGGTCTCTCTCTCTCGCTGGCGAATGAGAAGGAACGAGCGAGAGCGCTTATCTCGAGGTGGGAACAGGATCCGGCGAGAGGTTCGTTCGCCGCTCTGCCGCACATAGTGCAGCAGCACAGCAGACAGACCACGACAAAGTCAAG